GGTACTAAACGCGTTAAGTTTTTAACGTAAGTACTAAAATGAAACAAAAACTAAACATCAAATACGATTTTAAAAAAACTGAAAGTTTATATATTAAAACGGGCCAAAACTAATAATTTAACTACTAAACACATAACTTACCCTTAAATATAATACTAAGTAATAAAAAACTATAATACTAACAATGCAACACTTAATCCCAGTCATCATGTTATTAGTTGCCCTAGCTCACGCTCCAATAAATCACCAGCTGAAATCTTCCATTAACATACCATTGATATGTATATATATATAAACTAATCTTCACCGTACCATTGATATTCTTCATTTCTTTTAATGTCAAACATGAGAAAGTATACAAATCAACACACCATTTGGAATCTCCCATTGGACAAAGATGATACAATATATCAATAGAGAATGGTTTGCCATTAACATAACGAAAAATCACTTTTTTTTTGTTGTCCTCTAGTTTTAAGGTTTAGTCATAACTGATATGGACCGATCCGGGTCGCACACCTAGTTTTGGTGGGTAAGTCTCCCAATGAAGATTTTCTGCATCCACAAGAAGTCGAACCTGAGTATTTTTAGTGCTCAAACTCGGGACCTCAAAGAATAACAATAATTCGTTTATCAAAAAGGGGAAAACACTTGAATGATGGGAATTAGATATGATAGGATTTGGGGGGTCGGCTTACAAATCACCAACGAAATTGGAAAGGGTATGATTGCTTGAAGAATTAACAAAAAAAATGTCATGGATAATGTTTTTGTTCTTTGGGATTCATGAATTCTAAAGAGCCCCTTTGGGGTTTCAACCATCGTTTTCTCTTTTTCTTTTCCTTTAGCTTTCCCCACCAAAATCAAAGGACAATGGAAAACATTTAGAGTGATTAACATTTTAAAAAGGTAAGAAAATCAAGGTGGGGTTGAAATGAAAGATCTAAAGGTTGACTAATGAGGAATCTAATGATGGTTCAAATCTAATTATTTCTCCAAGACGTGCTTAATTTAAGGGAACCAACCCTGTTGGATTCCCCCATCAACCGGTCAATCTCCTAAAGTAAAAAAAGATTTATTTTTGATACATTTAAGGATGCAACTATTTCACTATTTACACCCAATTTAAAATTCTAATTATCAACTCATCATCGAATTAAAATTAAAAATGAGGGGATGTGGCCTATTTTTTTAATTTTGGAATCCAAAGGGACCTAAAAAGTATGTGAACTGTAAAAATAATAGGTCAAGACTTGATTAGTTTCAAAACTAAGAAGGGCCTGAATAGCAATTAAACCCAAACTTTTGAAGGTCATACATGACAACACAACGAATGGGCTTTTATCATTATACACCAAATAAAGCCTAACCATGACAACTTTGGGCTTCGATATTAAGATGATAACTCAAAACACATAAAATATTTAAGAGTAAACTATGTATTTAGTACTCAAATTATCAGTTTTGGTTCGTTTCAGTACTTAAACTTTCAATTTTTTCAAAACCATATCTAATATTTAGTTTTTGTTTCATTTCAGTGCATCGTCGTTAAAAGCTTAATGCATTTAGTACCTAAACTATTAGTTTTGTCCGTTTTAGTATCTAAACTTTCAGATGTTTTCAAAACTTAACGTTAAATTTTGAACGGAGGTACTAAAAGGAAATAAAAACTAAATATTAGGTATGATTTAAAAAAAATTAAAAGTTTAGATACTAAAACGGATCAAAACTGATAGTTTAAGTATTAAATGTATAGTTTACCCAAAATTTATCATCATAGAACTTAAATATTTAATATCAATTTAAGATTGAAATGATAATATCGATAACCGACTAGTATGATACTAATAATTACGATTTCATGATGATATATATAGGGGTAGAGTCCAGTTACATAATGTAAAACTCTTTTAATTTTACATAGATTTAGGACTGTTTGATGAGTGAAAATAGATGACTCAGATTAATTGTAAGACATGTGAATATATTCACTTGAAAGAAAAACAAGAAGTCAATCTGAACCATCTATTTTTATTCATCCAACGGTCCTAAATATGTGTAAAACTAAAAAGTTTTACATTGTATAAGTGGATCATAACCCATATATATATATATATATGTGTGTGTGTGTGTGTGTTAAAGGAGAATAATTGGTGAAGTATACACAAGAGGAGAGTAATTAGTATGATGTTTTCATAATAGAGATATTGATGTTTACGTGTTCATTGGTTTGGGACGATTAATGTCACAAGAATGTTGGAGTGTCAATGACTCAAATGAGTTCGATTTGTGGAAGAAGATAAAAGAACGGATATCGATATTGTTCATGTGGTATCGATATTAAATATAAGAAAAGTATCGATATTTTTATGATAGTATCGATATTAATTATTTTTAGAGTTATTCAAATTTTAATATCTAGAATCTGTACCGATACTTTAAGAAGTGTCGATAATACTTTACATGGTGATATTGATAACATAAACCCTATTTTCAATACTAGTCGAGCCTGACGATCAAATAACTAGATTTTTAAATATAACAAAGAAAATATCGATACTCTAAAAGGTAATACACTATTCTTTATGCTGAACTATTTTATTTTATAGAAATTAATTCTTCAACAATTTCAAATCTTACCCGATAATTAAAATATAAATATTTAAAATTTTAGAGAATACGACCACAAATGGTGAAAGATAAACCCTTTGACAAGAATTACGAATGATGAACTATGGGAGGACTTGGCCCCTCAATGTGGTTCGGAATATTTGAAAAAACCGACTCGTAGTAAATTGTTCGATTTCAAACATGTGGATTGTGGACCATTGACTCACTTTTAAGTACAACTTAGAACTTTTCTTTAATATCTGACACATTATAGATTAGGATAGAGTACACAAATAGTCCTCCAGTTATAAAAATATTATTTTATTGAATCAATTAATTATTAAAATTATAAATTGATCTCTTGACTATAGGGAATTGTTTTATTGAGTCCCTCGACTATTAAAAGTTACAAGATGGTCACTTGATTACTCATCATGTTTCAAACTTGTCTTTTTTCATTAAAAAAATTAACGTCCATCTGAGGCAGACATTAACATGTTAACTGGGATATGATAGTCGTTTGAGATTATGAGATCAGATTTTATCATATCTCAGTTAGTATATTAACGTACAACTCAGATTGTCGTCAATTTTAAATGAAAAAAGACGAGTTTAAAACATAATGAATAGTCAGATGATCATTTTGTAACTTTTAATAATCAAATGACTCAATAAAATAACTTCATATAATCATGATCATTTTATAATTTTTAATAATAAAAAAATTAATAAAATAATATTTTTATATTCATAAGACTATTTATCATTTGTGTACTTTACCGTATTGATTATTGCATGTCTTTGATTCAAGATCTGTCAGATTACGCGTTGTTGTCCTTTTCAGGCTCGGGTTCGTCAAAGAATTTTGTTTTGTTCTTCAAGAGAAGACTTGAAAACAAAGGCGATTTCTTGCATTATAATATCGCAACATAATATTTTTTTAGTTTATAATATGATTTTAAATCGACCACAAACTTTAGAAATGTTTTATTCAATTCTTGAAATATAGTACTTTACCATTCAAATTATTTTATTAGTTTTATAAGTATAATCGCAATCGTAAATTAAATTATAATTAAGACATTTTTCTATAACTATTGACACAAAAATTATTGAAAAAATTAAAAAGTCCACCGATAAATCGTAAATTAGAGTCAAACGATATGAGAAAACTATCTACGAGCACAAAACGTTGTATCCAAATCAATCTAAAGGTCCAAAGTAGATGAGGTCAACATGGTAACAAATAAACACCAATTTGACAAGTTGTGGCGATGTCAAATCCAACTTTGAGAAAAAGATAAAAGAAAACAATGATAAAAAAATCAAAAACTATTAAAAAATAGAGATAAACGTGTCATAAAGGTAAAGATAAACATGTCATAAAGATATAATTATTCTTATTAAAAACTAAAAAAAGGAAAAAATAATCGAATGTCGGCAATCAGTATCAAAATCGGTGTTGTCACCGACTAAATAAAATTAAAGAATAAGAAAATTGATTTGATCTATAAAAACTAGAACAAGTTATAAAGAAAAAAAAGTGGTAGAAGAGGGGATGGAGAAAATGGCTAGGGTTTGAAAGAGAGAAGAAAACATTATTATTATTATATATTTTGACCCAAATTATAATTGGTAATTAAGTTAGATTTTATTGTAATTGTTTTAGGCAAGAATTCTTATGGGTTAAGAATTCTTGGTGATAAAGTATTTGACTTTATAAATAAAGATAATGTCTTAACCTAATTAGTAAAAGAGAATTATTTTGGAGAGTTGTAATTTTTACTTGGATTTTGTAACTTTTGGAGTTTATGTTACATAGATAGTTTAGTAGAGATTGAGAGATTTTCTGGGATACACAGGGTTTTGGTATCTATACCGGATTTTGAAATACATGTGATATCGTGTACTTGTACTCTTTGTGTTCTCTACATCTATAGTGGATTATTGTTCATTTCGTCCGTAGAGGTAGGCAAGACTGAACCACGTTAAATCTCGTCTCCTGTGTATGTCTTATTTTATGTTGATATCGTTTTGATTATTTTTCTGCTTACATATTATAACAATTAACGCTAAATAATAGTTTATGTTTAATATTGAACACACTTAAAATATATGATTCAAGTTATAGTATAAATGATTTGAATTTGAACATATATATATAAATAAATAAACTAAAAAATAATTGAGAATGATTTATTGATATGATTTGAATCCAACTTAAAATTATTGATATAAATTTTATAATCTTATCCGACTCGAAAAATCAATGCTTTAGAGAATTTATACATTCAAACGTACCTTCATAATATTTACGTGTAGAGTGTAATATGGGGAATGTTGTAATAAAAAAGAAGCATTCAAAGTCATTTCATCATCGACATCTTCTCCTTTTGTATTCACATTGAAAGAAATGGAAACAGCTTCACCAACTTCATCTCCATACCTTCTCAGCAATCAAAAGCTTCTTCATCTGGTTTTGTACCTATCTCACTTCTTTATATGTTACCTAAACCGCATGTGATTGCGGTTTTTATGTCATTTTGATCTTCGTTGTTATTATTATTTAACGACGTTAGTAACAGGTAAGGCATGCACAAGGGCTTCACAATTTAGGGGCAGAGACGAACCGTGACTCGTTAACTCAGTTCATCGATGCTGCACTCTCGCCTCTGGGTTGGCAACAGGTGATACAAAAGCTTTGGCGTTAAAGTTATTGACGTATAACGTCGGAAAATAATTCTTCTGATTTAAACAGAAAGTCGTAACTTATGATGTTAAATATTTGACATTTTAGCCGATTTGTAACAGGTTCGTGCGCAAAGGGAAAATGTTTCTGCAAGTGGAATGCTTCAAGGAATTGAAGTAGTCATCACTTCACCTTTGTTAAGGTATCGAATTAATACGGAACTTTGAATTTTAATTAACTAAAAAGAAATTGACTAAAAGGTTTCATGTTTTGGTTGTTGATTGGAATGGTTGAAATTACAGAACATTGCAGACTTCGGTTGGAGTTTTTGGTAGTGAAGAACAACAAGAAGATCATTGTGGGAACAAGACATCAACTTTGAATCACCCACCAATCATAGCAGCTGAATTATGCCGTGAACGAATGGTATGCATGTATGTATGTATGTATGTATGTATGTATGTATGTATGTATGTATGTATGTATGTATGTATGTATGTATGTATGTATGTATGCAGTATGCATGCATGCATGATGCATTGAAGCTTATGTGGTTTTGTTCTTAATCCATGGGTTCAATTCAACGTAGAGAAAAGGTCGGAGCAGAGCAACAGTCGGGCAGTGCCGGTCTCGTTTCCCCCAAGTTGATTTTTCATTGGCAAGAATCTCCTGTCCCCCACTCTTATTTTCATTAATGTTAAGGATTTTTCGATTGTTAAATTCTAAACCCTAAACCCTCAACATGAAAGCTTAATCCTTCTTAACAAATAATTGATCTCAGATTGAGAGTGAAGAAGACACGTTGTGGGAGGCTGATGAACGTGAAACCAATGAAGCTGTTGCTGCTAGGGGAATCAAGTTCATTAAATGGTGTGTACCTATTCGAATATGTATCGAATACGAATATATATATATATATATATATAAATCGGAACCGGATCGTTTCAGGGTGTTGGGAAGAAAGGAAAGGGAGATAGCAGTGGTGAGCCATGGGGTATTCTTGCAGGAAACACTGATTGCACTTAAAAATAAGTGTCTCCCCTTGATGGACACTGATCCTTTCACCCGGTGAGTGTTTCATGATCTTTATTGCACTTAAAAACGAAGACTCGACTTAATTTTTTTCTTCTTATTTTCAAAATTAAGAGAGACCTAAATATTATGTAGGTTCGGAAATTGCGAAATCCGTTCCGTGATCATCTTTAACAGAAGGTGAGAGATTGAAATCAGTTTTAATCCGTTTTAATATCAAAACTTTTCATTTTTTTTCTTTTTACATAAATTTTGCAGCGTGGAGGGATTGGGATCAGATTCCAGGAAGACCAATTACTACTGTGGAAGAATCCCTAATGGACTACAACTCCAAGATTCTGCCAAGGACAATGTTTCTGTGGATCAAGTGATTAACTAATACTTAAATCTCCACCGTTAGTTTCCAGGTCCAACGCTGCCATTAGATTTTAGCTAGACGATAAAGACTATTATCGGAGATGATAGTATTTTTCACAACTATATTCTCATATTTTATTATGAACTTTTGGTCAGACGATTTTATCTCAGTAATTAAAAGAATTATTATTATTCGAACACTAATTTTTATAACAGAATGATTGAGTAATTAAAAGAATTATTATTATTCGAACACTAATTTTTATAACAGAATGATTGAGTGTGATTAAAAGTATTTAAAACAGATCACAGAACTAATTTACGTCAATAGTTAAAAAAATTATCATTGTTCGAGCACCAACTTCTATAACAGAGTGATTAAGCGTGGTTAAGAATATTTAAAACAGATACTAATATATAATCGCTTTAACTTAATAAAGAAAAAGATCATATTATCCTTAAATTAATGATTTTATTTAAGATAAATTACAAGTTTTGTTTTAATCTATTTTAATATCTAAACTTTCAATTTTCTTAAAACTATACTTAAAATGTTATTTTTGTTTCATTTTAACAGTTAAAAATTTTAACTTTATTTCATTTTAGTACCCGTTTAAAATTTAATTTAAAGTTAAAAAAAATTAAAATATAAGTAATGACTGATAGTTTAGATATTAAACGCATTTAATTTTTAATGATGAAAATTAAACATTAGATATGATTTTGAAAAAATTAAAAGTTTATGTACTAAAATAGATCAAAACTGATAGTTTAGGTACTAAATGCATAGTTTACCCTTTTATTTATTTGTTTTGTATTGAACAATCCGAAGTAATTCGGTCCTGGTGGCTGGTACCTTTATATAATGTTACTGCATTATGCAGTCGTATATTATTGAAGTTTTATAAAACATGAACATAGCTAACAATACAAAGTTAAGATCCCCCATCCAACTTAACATAGATGAACTTCAAGATTAAGCTATTATATACTAAAACGGGTGATCTCCGAGCATTTACCGGTAACTTCGGTAGATGGGCGAGTACATGCAACTCTCGGCATACTTCATGAGATCGGCAGGACGAGGGAGACGAGTTGCCACACCTGGAAAAGAAATTATAAACGATATCGGGCTTAAACAAATCGAGACACCAATATAAATGCCGTTAACTCGATTAAAGATGTGTCACTCACCGAGCTCATATGCTTTAGCGGCAACGTTTGCAGCTATATTAGCTGAAATTTTCCTTATGTTGGAGAATGGTGGGTAAATAAGGCCTTTGTCGTAGTTTTCATCGGACACTTGCTTAGCCAAGGCTTCCGCTGTTAAATGCAAGAGATGCAAGAACGGTATACAGTTAATCCACTGTAAATCCCGGCAAACTTTGGTATGGATAGGTGTCATTGCGTTGTTCGTAAGTTAATTACTGTCTACTTACAGGCGGCTAAAAGCATGTCGTCATGCACGCGAATTGCCCCGGAGATGACCAAACCCAAACCAAAACCTGGGAAAATGTATGCATTGTTGGCCTGAATTGACAAAAGAAAACGTGGAAATCGGTGATACTGCATGCATGGAGATTTTGTTAAAATATTCTCAACAATCAAATAATGGTTGAACCTGGCCAGGAACGAAAACTTTGCCATTGTATTCGAAAGGATCAAACGGACTTCCGCTAGCAAAAATGGCACGGCCCTGCATGATCCGGACAACATAATAAGAATGAGATTTTGAAGCAACCTTTCCAGTAGCTTTTTCACCTTAGTTATGCGGTCTACCAACCAACAAGAAACGATGTTACCTGACTCCAAGTATAAGCTTCTTCTGCTGTGCACTCGGACTGTGAGGTCGGGTTGGAGAGAGCCATGATAAGAGGTTTCTGCATCGTCATCACCGGTTTACAACAAATTAAATATTTTCCTGTTCTGGATGGCAGAAAACTATACCAAAAAGCATATAGATAAGGGGACTGCATAAAGTACCTCATTCAAGGAGGCTACAGTCTCGATAATTTCCTTCGTAAAAGTTCTTCCAACTCCAGAAGACCCGATCAAAACTGTTGGCTTGATTGCCTGATGAAGTATAAGCAACATAAGCACTGAAAATTAGTTTAAAGGGTGTGAAAGTAAGCAAATTTTTTCTTACCTTGACAGCACCTAATAGATCCTTAACAGGTTCATGGTCATGAGCCCATGGTTTCTTGAAATGTTGAAGTGAATCTTTACGAGAGCTAACGATCAGTCCCTGAAATATAATTCTCATGCTGCTTAGGTGAAAACGGATGTTCATATGGTATATTTCTTTCGGCACCAATCAAGGCAAAGCTCAACTATACCTTCGAGTCGACAAGCCAGATCTTCTTACGAGTCTCTTCCAAGGGAATTTTTGTCTGAAAGTGAGCGAAACAATAATCACTCCAAAACGGAATTTAGGATAAACTAAAGTGATTTGTCAAATTTTATTTAGTATGATTTTACCTGCTTTGACATCTCAAGAGCTATAAGCTCTGCTATACCAGTCCCAGCCTGCAAATACAACCAACGAAACGTCAGTGACTCAATTGAGAGGTATTCTGAATTGATCCATTAAGAATTAAATCATGTTGCACAGCATTGCTATTTCCTTTATGATAAGTTATCAATTATTTCAGCATATTGTTCCCTTCCCTTTTCGGTTAAAGATAGAAAACACTGATGAAGCTGAGATTAATGTCTTACTTCTCCGGCACCAAGGAACAGGAATCTGTGATCAGCTAGAGTGCCACCAATCAACTTAAATGCAGCGACAATCCCGGCAAGAACAACAGATGCTGTCCCCTGCATCAAAAGTGATTGTAAATCAACCCCTGAAAAAATATAAATAATCGTAAGGATGGAGCTCCTAAATAATGCTCTGCTACAACAACTTACCTGTATATCATCGTTGAAGACAAGGTGGCTAGTGCCATATTTCGCAAGCAATGTGAAAGCATTATGGTTTGCAAAGTCTTCAAACTGCATAATATTTAAAGAAATGTACATGATTAGGGAATGCAAGAAGAAGATTGCACACCGAAAAACAAAAGTGTCCTAAGAATGAATACCTGTATAAGAACTTTTTCCCCATAGTTCTGCTTGACAGCACACATGAATTCGTGTAGCAGGTCAGCATATTCCTGAAACGTAATCGAAACAATGTCAGTATAAGGCACATTATGTTCGAAATGATTATGCTATTAAAATCCACCAACCTGCCCAGTTGCCCTCCTTTGTCGAAGCCCAATGTAGAACTCATCCTTCAACAACTTCTCATTATTTGTGCCGACATCGATGGACACCGGTAAACACTATAAAGCAGAATCAATCAATATGAAAGCTACACAGTGTCATTACAATTGCTGTTTATATCAAAGTTCACTTCTAGTTCTCCAACCATGTAAAATTTCAGCTTAAGAACCATAAATGTAGATCTCAAGAACATCAAATGAAGAACTTGACGATGCTTACTGCTGAAGGACGAACCCCCCCGAGTGCTGTGTACAAAGCCAATTTCCCAACAGGAATTCCCATCCCCTGAATTTCCAACCGAACAATGGCCAAAACTAGTTATTCATTTATTTCACAGAATCCCAAAACTGCAATTTAAACTAAGCACCGACAAAAATGTTTCTAACTGAAAGAATGGACTTTAAACAATTTCACCTGACAGCCAAGATCCCCAAGGCCCAAAATACGCTCACCATCGGTTACGACGATAACTTGAATACTCCTTTCCGGCCAGTTCTTCAAGACATCAAGAACTTTTCCCCTGCACGTTATGATTGAACTAAGTCAAGCCAGTCCACTCGAGGATTCAAATTACATAGGACAAAGAAACATTCATACTTCTCTTTCAAGCTTATATAAAGACCCTGCGGACGCCTGAAGATGCTCCCGTACTTCTGGCAAGCTTCTCCTACAGTTGGGGTGTAAACAATTGGGAGCAGCTCCTCAACGTTATCGATCAGCAGCTTGTAAAACAGTCTCTCATTCCTTTCCTGTTAATGGTGAATGTAAAGAGAATGAACAACACCAAAGCTTAAAGTGAATGTAAAGAGAGGTACAAGAGAGACCTGAAGTTCCATCATGGACATGTATTTTTGCAGGGGAACCTGATATTTCCTGATATTGTTCATCGATTTCTTCTCCTAGGAATTATAACAAACACAAAACATGAATTAATACTTCTTAAAATCTGGGGAATAGCCAAAAAGGGGGTTGAAATTATAGTATGAAACCTGAAGCTGTTGAGAGATAACAGCAGGAGGGAGTAAACCACGCAAGTAGTGAGAATCTCTTTCTTTCTCAGTGAAGGCAAGCCCTTTGTTATGGTGGGGATCCCTCAACAATGAATATCCACTGCAACCATGGAAGAACAGTTTAAAAACCCATAATCAAAAACACAAGCTTCACAAGAAAAAAAAAATGAAAAAGGGTGACCTTGCAACAGAGTAAGTCCATGGGGTGACGAGTTGGTCCTCGGTGGCGCAATCCTCACCGTAAACATCCTCAACGCCGCCACCTACGGTGGCTCTGGGGGACAAATCAAGCACTGATTCCCCGCCTCTCATCTCTTTCATGGTGCTCTCCATCTTCTCTCCTCTAGATTGCTTCAGTTAATTCTATGTCTATGATGAGCAAGAGATTCAACAGGACAGACTACAGATAAAATAATCAATCCCCAGAACTTGAAAGAAAAAAAACACTGGGATCAGCTGCGTTCGATGTACTTGTTCAACTATAGCATGAATCAAAACGTCACTGTCATGCGCTAAGAAAAGGTGGAAAAGACCGCTTCTGGTACCGGTCATTGTAATAATAAACTAATATATGTGGGTGCAAGAGGCGGCTGGGTGGCTGATTGAGGAGTGACGTGGTGGCCAAGTGGTGGTGGTAGGTTGCGGAGCTGGGTCATTTGTCATTGAGGTGTCATGATTCTTTATACAATGAAAATAATACCACCACCTTCTCTTGGTCCCATTAGTTTTGTTCTCATTCTCAACTATAATTGTTTTTTTTTGGATAAGACTTCTGGAAGTACCCAGTGGTTAGACAAACACATGTACGTATCATATGCATATATATTTATATGATTATTCGTATTGATTTATCGATCAACTATTTCGAATCCGGCCACAACATTATTAGCTCAAGATAAGAGTTCTTTCAGTACAGAAGGTGCACATAACAGAGTACTTTCACCCAGCTGCTCGGCGTACAGATTTAAGAGGGCCGAGCCTGCAACTTTCCATGCGAACCCGCATCTGCTCACTTCATCTATTTTCATGGCATAGTCATAGCAAATGTTATAAATGGCAACAGCCTCCTTTCGGATTTCGTCCATCGGCCTTTGCCTCTCCTCCAACTCCAAACCTCCGTATAATTCCTATACCATCGATGGAACATATTCGATCAGGATTAATCGGTTTGATCAAGATACTACGTGTGTCCAAGCATTTAGCTGATACTCACCTTCTTGTACTTGTCATAAACTGCATTACAAGCTGCATCTATTTGTTCTTTGCTCGGGAACTTTTGAGCAACTGAGATATCTTTCCTGTGTTCCTCGTAAAGTGCGGTCTATTTTTCTCGGCATTCTTCCTCGAGGACTCCTACGTCGAAGCAGGGGAGCTTTCGAACTTCTGAGAAGGGTTAAGATTTAAACACATTATTCACTCACTTACTCCATGAAAGCACGAAACATGAAACTCGGAAAAGCTTTGCTTACCTGTCTTGGACACTTGGTCTTGATAAGATTTGACATAATCATAAATCTTCCCCATGATGGAAGTTGACTTGAATGAGTTATCCCGTTCCATGTAATGTGGAAACACTGCTGCTCTCAAGTCCTCTAGAAGAACGACCTATTCGAAAGTCGTAATCACTCGAAAGTATAACAGTCATTCGAGACCAAGAAACATATAAAAGCAGATGATGATAGCTATGTTCATGCACGTATAGTTCATGGCAGAAAAACCAAGAAAATATGCAATCATCCATCACTGTTATTACCTTCTTTCCTGTCTTTGATGCATCCAAAGCTTCGTAGTATAAGTTAATAAGGCTTTCCAGGTTCTTCTTCATGAGAGCTGTCACGGATGGATCTTTTACCGTAAGAAATCAATCCATTATCGCGTTCCAATTATCAGCAGCCGCACTCATTGCATAACTGAAAAAGGAAGCAACCGAACTTGCCATAACATCAGAACCAAAACCGATCACAAGCATGAGAACTGCATGAGAACTTGTTACAATGAATTTGTTATCCAAAGTGATGGAGATGATTACTTTGGCTGGAACCTGGCTTTCAAGAACAAATCGAAGAGCTCACTCTCCAACTCCTCATCCGAAAGCTCGTTGGGTGGCCGACTGGGCCCTTCGAGGGTAGAGCATTCTTCTTCCCAGGGCTCACTGGCTTTGAAATAATCCAAAAGCTGAAGACTGTACAAAATTAGTAGGCTGTCTCGGTAATCATTAAATACCAGAAATGTGTTTCATACAAACTTAATGTCCAATAAGCAGGACAAGAACCAGTCAGTGAATTCCCTATATCATCAATATCTTCTTCACGCATGACTGACTGAACAGAAAGGAAAGAAAACAGTCCGGAAACTCGAAATGAAATCAACCTGTGGATTTTGTGATACGAAGAACATGTTGCCGTCAAAATCACCCCCAGCCATCTCATCAGCCAAAGAGCGCTGGCCATCACAGGGAAAGAATATATCATACTTGGCATGTCCTACATATTCATTCAACTTATCCACATATCTAGCATTGAGCACATGCACATCTCCAAAATGTTCTCCAGGTGAACGGTACACAAGCACTTTACCAGAAATCTGTCCATTATCCCTACACATATCATCAAGGGAGACCCATAATATTCAATCATAAGTTCAGGGAAAAGAAAGTTCTATTTGATTTGATAATGCTGACTGACTTACAAGATAATGCTGACTTCGCCACTTTTCAAGGTTCGAGATGGATCAGCAGTGCCCATTAAATAATAGGACTCGGTTATAGGTAGCTTTCCCGCAAGGAGATTCTTTCTATCTTCATTCAACATTATGGACATTCGATATTGCAAAAATGGTTCATCAAGGGGAATCCCTGATAAAATCATTTTCGCCACACCGAGTTCATCCATTCCACCACGGTTAAGAGCAACTGCATGTGATAGTTACGAAGATTGATTCAAAAGTTTGTTATATCACTGAATGGTAGCAGATCAGAAAAGGAGCATCAATGAGACAAGAATATCACTGAAGTGTAGACCAATTATACTACAACGGTAAAATCTTTACATGTTAAGCTAGTATAATCATCAAAACAAAAATTCGAGGAAGGGTTTGGTGACGATGAAGAAAACTACCTTTAAGAGCTTTCTTCTGTTCGAGAAACCGCGCTGTGACTCTTCAAAAGCATTCATCAATATGTCCATAAAAAAATCATCCGGGACACCTACATGGCTAAGGAGCATAATCAAATTCCTTGAAAGATTAGTTCCCTTTGGTTTATTGCTGCAGGAGATGACATTAAATATATCACCCACAAGTGCAGCAAAGAAAAATAATAACTGCTCAAAGGGGAAAAAAAGATGATGTGCAAGTGTATTAAACAGAAATTAAATGAATGGAACAACGGCAAGTACCTGGTGGTAACTGCTTCCAGTGAATTTATCGTGCGGTTCTTTGATGGATTCAGATCAGGCCTAACTTTAATCATGGAATCCCGAACTTGAATGGTTCGGAGTGGAAGCTACAAAATTTTGGAACAAAAGTTATTACTAGCACGCAGGTTCTGGCAAGCAAAGAGATGTATCAGCCGCCAGAAGTTTACCTTTTTATTAACTAGTAAAGTTCCCTTGATAGCATAGCCATTGTAAAAGAACCGGACCTGGAGCAGCAAAGGCTAGAAAGAAAACAAAGAATGGAATCATAATCAGTTACTAAATTAACAGAGGAAAGCACCGGTTAGTTGTTCAGTACGCATACCGGCACCCAACGGTAACTCAAATTTAACGCGAGAAATATATTTTGAATTTGAATTTGATTAACTCAAATTTAGGTAATTCTCATTTGATTTGAAATCTACCTTAAATTTTAGAGTTTTAAAATTTATATTTCTTTTAATATAAAGGGTTAACTACATAGAAAATCAATTACGTTTATGTTTTGTCCATTTTTTGTCATTGATTTAAAAAACATAAGATATTGTCACTTTTGTTTTTATTTAATTAATATGTGGTCATCACGAGTTAACTGTCATTGATAGCAATTAAATATTTTGATATAATCACACATTTGGTCCCTATTATTTACATAAACGTAAATTATTTTTCATGTAGTTTACCCTAATATAAATATAAAATTATTCTTTTTATTTAACAAAGTAAAGACCTATTAGAAAATATAGAGTGAGAGATATTATAGTAATTGTTCTTAAATTTATAAAAAAAATTATATTATTATCTCTAATTAAGTGACTGTGTTGAATTTTTTACCCTAAACTCAAAATTTATCTGATCTAACTTGACCCTTTACAAAATTTGTTCCTATCCAAATGTAAACCCCTCTTTTATAAAATTTAAAGTTAAAACTCATCAAATTTAGATCAAACTATCATCCCTACTTATACTCAACACTTATTATTTGGATAATACTATTTAAATAATTTGTTTTATTTAAGTATTAATTATTCATATTCAAATTAATTTTAGAATTGGATTCGTAGGAAATCAAATTATTGACTTTTATAATCGCATCTAATTAAATTATAGGGTAAAGTACACAAATGGTTCCTCGATTACAGGATATTGCTTTGTCGAATTCCTCGACTATTAAAAGTTACAAAATGATCACCAGACTATTTATTATACTTTAAACTCGTTCTTTTCTGTTAAAAAAATTAACGGCGGTCGTTGGATGTTAATCTATTTACTGACATATGATAGTTTGTTTGAGATTATGAGATCATATTTTATCATATCTCATTCATCATATTAACATCCAACTCAAAGTGTCATCAAATTTTTAATAAAAAGTTGACGAATTTGAAACATAATGAATAATCAAGTGACCACTTTGTAACTTTTAATAGTTTAGGGACTCAAAAAAGCAACATCTTATAGCTGAGGACTATTTTGTAACTTTTATAACATTTTTTGTTGGAAAAAAAGTAATCAAAATTTTGAAAATTTGTCAATAGCGATTCCTTTTCGGTCCGTTTAGGTACAAAATGTCCATAATCTTCTGTTAATCTTGCTAGAATCAAGCAGCAATTCAATGATTATTATATGTAACATTTTAAGCTTGATTAAGTAAATCTCAAAGATTTAAGATATTAAATTAGATCTTCGAAAAGATCAAAAACACGAAGATCATTTGATCACATGCAAATACTAAGATTGGCCACTATATTTTTTCAGTTTTAGTATTTAAAACTTTCAATTTTTTCAAAAGTACACTTAATATTTATTTTTTTATTTCATTTTAGTACCCACCATTAAAAACTTAACGTGTTTCGTACCTAAACTAAAATTTTTGATCGTTTTAGTGCCTAAACTTTCAAAACAATTTAAAATTTAACGTTGAATTTTGAACGTGGTACTAAAATAAAACAAAAACTATACTCTAAGTATGATTTTGAAAAAATTAAAAGTTTAGTACTAAAATAGACCAAAACTAATAGTTTAAGTACTAAATATGTAATTTACCCTACAAATTATGCTGCTGCTTCACTGTTTGTAGAGGCTGGTTGAGTTTTCTGGCAATGAAATTTCATATTCATCCGGAAAATAAAAATTATGCTGCTTCTGTTTCAAAAGTTAAATATTAAAAATTATAATTTATGCTTTCAGATATTAAAAAACTTTTTAATCATCAAATTACAGGGGGAGAAGAAAAGAAAAAAGAAAGAAAATCTCTGTAACCAGACTTTGTCAGAAAAAAATTCTCACATGAACTGCCAAATGGATCAAAGGTATATATATATATATATATGGAAGACGTCGTCATCGTCATCATCGTTCCCATCTGTTATGAGAAGGCGATTCAAAGGCAGACATTATTTTCTGTAGCTTAAGATCTTTGTAAAACTTGTTTATGAACTCCTCCGCCGCCATATCCACTTGACTATCTCCGTCATCCTTCAACGGGAAAGGCGAGTCCGTCACTCTCAGTTGTCTTCCCAAAGGACTCCGTCCAAACCCCGGCGAAACCATCGGTGAAAAAGACGACTCCGCCGCGGCCTCGTTGTTCAACATCTCGAGAACCTTTTGCACCGCAGAAAAGGTCGTGACGTCGTCGTATCGGTAGTTGGACTTGTTGTAGTGGTGTCTGCGCCTGTGGTGGTGGTGGTGGTGAAAAGCCGGGCTGTTGCTGCAACTAAACTCGTAGTCTCGCGGCGAGACGAAGGAGAGAGCGTCGTTGGAGCGACAACTGAAGGAAGAGAGATGGTCTTGCACTTTCTGGTGGAAGACGAGGTTGCTGATGGCTTTCCCGGCGTTGTATTTGCCTTTCTTTAACATGAAGAGCACTATCCGTACAATGCTCCATAGCTTCTTTGCTGCTACTGGTGGGCTTCTCCCCATTTCCATCTTTGTGTGTTCTTAAGAATCTTTGGGTAAATTTTAAGAGACAAAGAGGGTTAAAGCAAAAAAAGAGAGATCTTTGGTTTGGTCGCAATGAACCAGGAGATGCAAGAGACATATATAAAGGGCTCGAAACTAATTATGGGTAAAGTATATCAGTGATCATTGAAATATATTTAAATAATTATTTTGGTCACTAATCTTTTAAAAATTATAAAATAGAAATTAAATTTCCTAACTGTTACAAAATGATCACTACGATTAGAGATAAGCATGAGTCAAGTCTAGCTAGGTTTTTGGCTGACCAGAGTTTGACTCGAGCATTCTACCCCTCTACCTATCACTCGATTCAAATTTAGAGAGGCTCCGTTTAACTCAAAACTCGATTCGATTTTGGGGTAAAAACTTATATCTGATCGAACTCGACCGACACACATATATATAATTTTATCTTTATTAGGTAAAATAGAGACCTAATTAAAAATAGAGAGAGAAAGATATTATTTCAATTATTCTTAATATATAAGAGATAATTATATTATTTTTTAGGTTTGATGGAATATTTTCTATCCTAAATCAGACTCAACCCAACCCTAAATTTAAGAAAATTTCATATAAAAAATAAATTTTAAGGGAAAAACAAATGAGTATTTTAACTCGAATAGATAACGTTGTTAGCTATGGACTAACTAATGATATTATAAAAGTAAATGATCAAATAATGTTGAATTAAAATATAATAACTAAATTCCAAATTTACATAAAGCAAAGGGATAAAACATAGTTTGACAACTTATGTATAAAGTTCTCACTCACTTGTGATTTCCATGCAATAGGGATTAGAAATTGTGGTGGGAATTCTCATTTCATTTTATTGTCTCTTAAAATTGGAAAAGTTGCATCCAGATTACGAAAAGAATCCTTGAATGCAGTTGAATTACTTAAGTATATCTTTAGGGTTCAATGATTTAAGGGTAAATTATGCATTTAATACCTAAACTATTATTTTTGGTCCGTTTAGTACCTAAACTTCCAAAAAAAAATTTCAAAACCATACATAAAGTTTAGTTTTTATTTCATGCTAGTATCCTGCCATTAAAAACTTTAGTTTTTGTTTCATTTTAGTACCCTCGTTCAAAATTTAACGTTAAGTTTTTAACGTCGGGGGTACGGGTACTAAAATGAAATGAAAACTAAATGTTAAATATGATTTTGAAAAAAAATAAAAGTTTAAGTACTAAAACGGATCAAAACCAATAGTTTAAGTACTAAATGAGTAGTTTACCCATGATTTAAAGATATTTAGTATAATGAACGACGTCGCAAAGGGGCCTTTTGCCGTGGACATTAATTAAGGTGACGACTTGATATAGACCACATATCTCAAATTGGTTAAATCCTCACCGTTGGTTCTGCATATTAAATAGCCCCATGGACCCCCTTAGGCTAACATTAATGTTTGACACCATTGACAAGTTATACAAAGCTAGTCAAGCTTAATTTTGTGTGAAATTTCAAAGTCTAGCAACTAGAGTTACAACCACAGTTAGGTGCACTGCTCAATCATGAGATTAATGATAAAAAAGAAAAGTCTACAGAATATCGGTTCAATTATAAGATTATGAATTCGAATGTCATTAAATATAATTGTTTTCATTTCGAAGAATTGATTGACTACGAATAATTTAAATATTGTGTACAAAGTAACACTTGAAAAATTAGTTTTTGGGTTATTATTTCATGTATTGATGGTGGAGAAAATATTACGTAAATGTTTGTTTAAATATTATCGAATGTTACCAATCAAACGATTTTATTGATTAAGGGATTTGTTATTCTTTTTAGAGATTTCGGGTTTGAACACTAACACATATATGAGTATCCATTGCCAATTGTTAAGAAAATAAGGTAAAAATTGGCTTAAGGGTCACTTTTGACCTTATAGTAAACCCAATTTATCATTTTTATCCCTGTTATATTTTCGTTTCAATTTAGCCCTCGAAGTTGTTCAACTGCATCATTTTATACATTACCCCTAACTTAAAATTCTAAATTATAAACCTAAGTTAGGATTCAGGATTTAGGGTTTATGGTTTAGAGGTTATGATGTTATGGTTTAGGGTTTAAGGTTTATAATTTGAAGTTTTATAACATGGGGTAGGGTATAGAAAGAATCAATTGAGTAACTCCGAAGGCTAAATTGATGCAAAAATATGATAGGGGCGAAAATGATAAATTGAGTCTATTACAGGGGCAAAAGTTAAAGTTACCCTTTTGCCATAAAAATTTTAAGTTTTTTAACGAGCACGAGTCGAGCAAAATTTTAATGAGCTTAACGAGCAACGAGTCGAGTTGAGCAACAACTTTTATTAACGAGTTTGAGTCGAGCACTACCCAATTCGAGATCGACTCGCTCGATAAACACCCCTAACTATATTATATTCACCTATTTATGAAAAAAAATAAATTTGGCTTCTAATTGATATTGCACCTGCTACATACAAAAAATAAAAGGTGTCAACTTATAATTTTTAACCACATGTTTTAGAGATTATTTATATTTATAACCCTAAATTTAAAATCCTAAATGCTAATTCTTAAAATCTTAACTTTAAATTTTTAATTATTAAATCATAAAATATGTAAACACTAAACCCTAAATCCGATTCCGTCTTTTGCATGTATTTCAAGCAATGGAACTGAACAACTGTACCTACTTGTGATACATGGCAGATTGTTGTGCATGCAGATATCTTCCTCGTCTCCACCATACAACCTGGTACAACGACAGGAAATAGTGGGAGAGTTTTAGATTATCATTTAAGGTTTGAAATTTTAAAGTTTAGAGTGATAATCAGAATGAAAGTTAAGTTTAGGTTTATAAATGAATAAAATTTATAGTTAAGAATTTTAAGTTTGATGAGTTCCATTTTATTTGTTAATTAGAGTTGAGAAATGAAAGTTTAATACTTAAGTATAATACATAGATTAATAACATGATGCCAACTGACGCTGGTACAAGTGGTTGGAATTCAGGAATTTGAGCTTGTAAAGTCAAATTCGAATCCTGCCACTATTGCTGAGCAATCTGTAACTTCTATATAAATCTCAATTGGGTCTTAGGTATGCCCTAGCCCATGACTGGGGAGCCACCCTTGACCTAAACTTTTATGTAAAAAAAAAAGACACTAATAACATCATTAGATCGACTTACACGAGGCTTTTGATACATTGCATTGGAACTTTATTTCTTCTATTCTAACAGCCCTCAATTTCCCTCCAAGATTTATTGCTTGGATTGAAGTTTGTTTTTCTCAAGCTAGATACTTAATCTCCTTCAATGACTCCTTGATTGGTTATTTTAAAGGAGCTAGAGGTCTAAGGCAGGGAGACCCCCTATCCCCATATTTGTTTGTCCTCGCTATGAATGTGCTCTCAAAAATGCTAAACTTGGCTACTTCAAAAGGAATCTTTGATTTTCACCCTAAATGCAAGAAGATCGGGATTTCACATCTTTCTTTTGCTGATGACCTACTGATTTTCTGCAAAGGTAATATTGGTTCGGTTGCTGGTGTTTTAAGTGTCCTTGATCAATTCTATGAATTTTCAGGGCTAAAGCTTAATTCTTCCAAATGTGAGCTTTTTACGGCGGGTATTCTTCCAAGGGAACTGACGGATATTAAGCGTCTTGCAGGTTTCAAGTCCGGTTCCCTTCCTGTTAGGTACCTCGGTATCCCTTTAATCACTCGCAAGCTAACTATGAAGGACTGTGAACCTCTACTTGAGAAAATAAAGCAGCGATTGCATCACTGGTCCACCCGGAACCTTAGTTAAGCTGGCAGACTGGAATTAATTCGCACCGTTCTGTTCAACATCAGTAATTTCTGGTGCAGACAGCTTCTCCTTCCAGCCTCGATTCTAAAAGCAGTCGACCAACTTTGCGCAAGGTTCTTCTGGAAAGGCGAAGACAAACCTGCAACTGGAGCCCGGGTAAGCGGGGATCGTATGTGCCTCACCAAATCAGAAGGTGGTTTAGGTCTGATTAATACATCAATTTGGAATAGAGCATGCACTATAAGCCTCATTAGGAAGGTTCTTGCTGGTAACGGTTCATTGTGGGTTGCGTGGTTACACAATTACATTCTTAAAGGATAGGATTTCTTGCAATTCGAGGCTGGAACAAATGTTAGTTGGGGATTCAAAAGAATTCTGAAATTGAGACCTACTACTGCTCCTTTTTTTGCTTCTGGTTTCATGCGTACTAAGGAAATATGCGAGCACATTCGACCGCAAGTGCAGAAGGTTATTTGGCAGCGTCTAATATGGTATCCTTTGCATATTCCAAAGCATAGCTTGATTGCTTGGATGGCCATTTTGAATAAATTACCAACCAGAGATCGTTTAGAAAGAATGGGAATTTGCACGGATGGACTATGTATAAACTGTAGCACTCATCAAGAAACTAGAGATCATATTTTCTCTAATTGCTCCTTGGCTGTTGGTATATGGAAATCCATCCTTAACATGAATGGGATGAACTTTTATGCTTTGACTTGGGATGAAATGGTAGCTTGTGCTTGCTCCTCTTGGAAAGGAAAGTCCCTCTTAATTTCCATTTTGAAGATCTCGTGGAATGCCTTCATTTACTTCTTGTGGCAGGAACGTAACCAGAGATTATTTCAGGGCCATTTCCGATGTGCTGACGATATTCTTAAAGAAATTGTCGATGTGGTTGCAATTCGTCTAAGGGACAGATCCATAAATAGACTAGATAGTACTAACTTATCCCTTTGTAATGCTCGGGGTATAATATAACCAATCATTGATGTGTAATTAGGCTGTTCTGTTTTGTTGATTGGTTATTGGTTGTATCAAAACCTTACTGTTGTGGTAATAAAATGTTGAATTATCAACAACAAAAAAATAACGTCGTTTTTTCCTATTTCACTCACTGCACTTTAAATTCGTTCAATTTCCTTATTGAATTTAACACATTTGATTTTTTGGTCACTTTGTCATTTTCTCATTGACGACGTTATAAATTTGTTATTATATAAATGCAAAACGACATCGTTTTGGTGAAAATTTTATTTTTCTAAATCGGCGTCGTTTTAACGTTGTTAACTATTTAACGATAGAGTGATAAAAAAACCAAATATATTTAGTTTAGTGAAGAAATTGAACAACAATAATGATCGAACTAAGACTGAATTATGTTTGTAAGTTGATTTTCCTCTTTCATTTTCATGATTATCATTTCTAAGTAATGAAATACACGAGATGATGTATATACATTGAGATGACGATAACTGGTGCGTGATGAGAATGGAAGGCTGGAAACGTGTGGTGGGTGTCACGTGCAATGCAAAAGGGTATAGACCTTTGAAGCATACAATAATTTGCAAAATTAACACGATTTATCTATATTTTCTTTCAAACCAGTTATGGTGAAAATGACAGTGTTGGGTACCAGCGTAACTGATTTGGAAACCGGTGATTCAATTGATTAAATTAAAAGTTGGTGGTTTAATTGATTAAAAATAGTCCTCCGAATATAGGGTATTGATTTATTAAGTCCCTCGAATATTAAAAATTACAAAATGGTCACTCAATTATTAATTATGTTCTAAACTCTTCTTTTCCCACTAAAAATTAATTGTATTCTGAGTTGAACGTTAACATAATGATTGTGATATGATAAAATCTGATCCCAGAATCTCAAACGACTATCATACCGCAGTCATCATGTTAATTTTCAGCTTAGATAATCGTCAATTTTTTAATGAAAAATGACGAGTTTAGAACAAAAAAGAATAGTTGGGTGATCATTTTATAATTTTTAATAGTTGAGAGACTTAATAAAACATACCCTATAGTCGGGGAACCGTTTGTGTACTCTACCCTAATTAATAATCACGTAAATAAAATTTAAAATATATATATATATATATAATGAGATTGATCATTGCTATTGGTGGAATCCCTATTCCTAATTAAAGTTTTAGTCGGAAAGGGAAAGAAAAATAAAGTGATCCATAGCACTTTGTTGTTTACTTCTTTTATCAAAATCACCAAGAAGGCTCTCACTTTGGTGTGGGTTTCTTTATGCTATATCACAAAACTTTATGTTTTATTAATTTATTTGAAATTATACACTCACACTCTATTATTAATAATTAAAAAACAAACACCACATGCAATAATTATAGAAACATATAATTTATAAAAGGTAAAAGGGTAATTTTTACTCTCGTAGTAGACTTAATTTATCACTTCTGCCCCTATTGTATTTTCGCATCAATTTAACCCTCGAAGATGCTCGATTGCATCCTTCTATATATACCTACCTCTAACTTAGAATCCTAAATTATAAACCCTAAAGCATAACCCCATCACCTCTAAACCTTAAACCCAACTTAGGATTTATAATTTAGGGTTTTAAGTTAGGGGTAGGATATAAAATGATACAATTGAGCAACTTCAAGGCTTAAATTGATGCGAAAATACAATAGGGGCAGAAGTGATAGATTAAGTCTGTTACAAGGACAAAGGTAACCCTTAATCCTTTATAAAATAATAACAATGAGTTGATAAATTAACTTCATCACAATTCACCTGTAATTTATTCATAATGAATGTGATTGTCTATTAATAAAAGAGAATCAATTATAGGGTCCAAAACAGAACAATTCAATAAACATCAATTTAAAAGAAAACATTAAATTTAACTCTAAAAAGAGAATTACTACGAGAAAATAGCAAAATAGGTAGAGTTTCATGTATCATTCCAATTAGAAGCTTGTAGCTTGACATTAGAATTTGATCTCAACTCGATTCGAGTTTAAAAATATTTTTATTCACTCTAAATTTAATAAAACTGTGAGATACAAGTATGTTGACCATCTCTAAACATACCATATAATACCTCGAGAATATATTATACACATAGCGCAAACATTCCATATATATAAGAATTGAGAAGGACTAAAGGGGGCGACATGCTACATGAGAACATTAACTAAGAGAAGACAAGTTGATACGAGCAATTGCTGTTGGTAGAGATCAAATTTATGATAGCAAAAGCGTGTTATTACTAATTAAAATCCGATCCCACATCGATTGGAACCCTACACTTGTAAGCCACTAATCTCTATCTTCCCAACCTTACTATTATTACACCATTATTTATAAATACCATATGTGGATTTTCCGTTTTTTACTTATTATGATTTAAGTTTATCATATCTTAATTTTGTTCAGAGTTATTATAGTCTAGGTTTGAACATATTTCTTTAAGATAGTAATTTGACTCGAACTCGATGAATTCTGATGATATAGGGTTATTTTTAAAATTTCGATTTAGGTCATGTCAGGTTAGATTTTATGAGGATTGAGATTAGATTGGATTATGTTCAAGTTTAGGATAAAAAAATTCTTGATATGTCCCATTATACTAGTGTAATTTTCTATATATTTTCAATTGAATTCTTATAATATCAAGTAAAAATGAGAATGCTTTATATTCAAATCATATCAAGATGACTGTAGGTCTTTATCTTAGATTTTGGATCGATTGAAACTTCTCTAAACATATGTCAGGTCAGGTTTGAAACGGATGAAAACCCGACCCATTATCATCCATGCATCCAACTACAAGTTCATTCATTTGTATACAAAAATGAACCGAAAGGGGTGCTAAAGTGCATGACAATTACACGTCCTTATAAAATTAAATTTTCATATAGTTTTGATATTTTTTTATTTTTTATTCATGATATAATTTTTGTACTCTTTAAACTTTTATAATTTTTATCTTATAATTTTTATATAATTTTAAAAAAAGTCTACAATATTAACCTAAAATCTTATAATTATACTTATTATAAATAGTTGTATATAACCTCATGTAAAGTCAAAGCTAGACCTTTAATAAATTTTCCAATTTGTTGGTGAATTTGTAACTTCATTAGCTTTATTAAGTGCCAGGGGGAACAAAAGCCGAGCATGGGGTCGTTCTTTATATTGTTGCACATATTTATTACGTGGACTTCTTGGACCTCAAACTCTCTTCATTCTTATCCCTTGCAATAGCTGTTTGATTTAATCCTTTAAAAACCCTACAATTCAGATTCTAATCGTGGTTTTAGTCCCTCCCCTACGACAAAATTTGAAATTTAATCCATCTATTTTGATTTAACATAATAATTTCCTTCTATTTTTATAGTATTATTAGTACGCCCATATTTATAGTATTATTAACTATTGTCTTTATTAGGTATCCATAATCCAATTATATTAAACTAAAGTAGAAGGATTAAATCTCAAATTTCAGAAAAATAGGGGAACCAAAACCATAATTGAACCATTTAATTTTATACTTTTTTTAATACAGTTTTTGTATGTTTCCTAATAAAACAAAAGATAAGGTCAATGGGAAAGCACGCTACAAGCCTACAAGGCTAAAACGACTTTTTATGATTTTTGTATGTAAATTTTAGGGTAAAGTATACAAATTACCCCGTGATTATAGGATACTGTTTTGTTGAGTATCTTGACTATCAAAAGTTATAAAATAGTCCCCCAATTATAGGGTGTTGCTTTATTGAGTCTCTAGACTATTAAAAGTTACAAAATAGTCACTCGATTATTCATATGTTTCAAACTCGTCTTATTTCGTTAAAAAAATCGATGATAGTCTAAGTTGAATGTTAACCTGTTGAATGAGATATGATAATCGTTTGAGATTTAGGGATCAAATTTTATCATATCACAGTCGGCAAATTAACGTTTTTCATCAAATTTTTAACAGAAAATAATGAGTTTGGAACATATGAATAGTTGGGTGACCATTTTCTAACTTTTAATAGTCAGGAGACTCAACAAAAAAAACTCTATAGTCAAGAGACTATTTTAAAATTTTCAATAGTCAAAGAACTTAACAAAGCAGTGTGTACTCTACCCTAGTTTTTAATATTTTATCAAGAGTAATTTTCTTGGGCTCTTGATTGCTTGCCACATAATGATGTGTCAAAAATCATTATTATCAAAAGAGAAAGGTATTCAAGGAAAATAATCTTTTAATTAATCAATTATATTAAAATCATCAAAATTCATTTTAATCTCTATAAAAATATATATATTAATATTTACACACTTTAAAAATAAACCTTTTGGTCGAAAATATCAAAATTACCATTAGTCAACTTTAATATTTTGATTTAAATATAATTTGACTTTTTTTCTAATTTTGAAATTGAGCAAATAATACCTTAAAAGCATCATTTTCAACCCATCATATTAACATGGGTATTTTTATTCCAATTGGTGTTTCTACAAAGATTCATGATAACATAATAGTTATGTATGTTAATTATTTGGATTTAAATATAATTTGACTTTTTTTTTCTAATTTTGAAATTGAGTAAATAATACCTTAAAAGCATCATTTTCAACCCATCATATTAACATGGGTATTTTTATTCCAATTGGTGTTTCTACAAAGATTCATGATAACATAATAGTTATGTATGTTAATTATTTGGATTAGTTAATTACATTACAAAAAAAATCAAATTATGGTAAATTAAAATGTAGGGACATAATCTTAATTTTCTATTACCATTACAAATTGTGGGGACGTAATGGGTTACCAAAGCATGAACCATAGCCTTTGATGACAACTTACAATAACTTTGCCACTCCAATTGTTGTTAAATCCTTATTTTGAGAATAGTAAAGGGACTAAAATCAGAATTTAACCCTTTTAATTAAACAATTCTAATATACCCTAGTCTTTGGGCCTTTTGGCTTGGAGAATGGTGGCAGCTCTCCAACTTTTTCAAGCTTCTATGGATCAAAAGAATCATAGTCTCTAATCATCATTTCTTATTACTTGAAGAAATGCAGCTCAAGTGACGTGCAACAACAAATAAATAGAGGCTCAGGCAAGCAACTTTTAGTCTGAAATGGCCATTGGAACAAACTAAGTTCAATCTGAACTTGATGACAAGCTATAACCAGGAGTCTTGGCAAGTTTCATTTGCTTCATGATCCCTCTAACCCTTTCAACTTCTTCCCACAAACCATTAGCAGCATAAATATTGGACAATACAACATAAACCCCATCATTCCATGGTTCCAATTCCTGCATATGCTTAGCTACCCACTCCCCGATCTCCACGTTCCCGAATTTCTCGCAGGCGCCGATTAAACACCCCCATATCACTACATTTGCCTTCATAGGCATATCCTCCACCATCTTTTTTGCTTCCTTGAGCAACCCGGCTCGACCAAGCAAATCCGCCATGCAACCGTAATGCTGCAAAGTTGGCCTTATCCTATAATCACTCTTCATCATGTCAAAGTAAAATTTCCCTTCCTCCACTTTCCCACCGTGCACACAAGCACTCAACACCCCAACAAATGTAACATGGTTAGGTCGAACGCCAACCTCTCGCATGCAACGAAAACAATCGAGAGCTTCCTGGACATGACCATGCATTGCATAGCCGACGATCATAGACGTCCAAGAAGAGACATTTCTTTCCCTCATCCTTGAGAAAACTAAATAAGCTAATTCCATCCGACCACATTTCCCGTACATGTCGATCACCGAATTCGACATCAACATGTCGGATTTTCCCAAGCTTCTGGCTTGGAATACACATTTGTGTAACTGAAGAGCCAACTCGAAGTCCCCTAAACTCCCACAAGACGAAGTCACACTAACCATAGTCACATCATCAGGCAAAAACCCTCTCTTTCTAAGCTCCAAAAACATATCTATCACCTCTCTAGCTAGTCCACTCTGAGCAAGTCCTGCTATCAAGGCATTCCAAGACCCCAACTTTCTGTCCGGATTTTCATCGAACACTTTCCTCGCATTGTCAAACTGTCCCACTTTCATATAAAGGTTTATAAACCCACTCTCACAAAACTCATTTAACACTAATCCGATTTTCACAGAGATGGAGTGGAGTTGACGGCCGAGGTCAATAGAGAAACATTGACAAGCGGCCTTTAAGACAATGGGGAGAGTGTAACGATCAGGGAGGAGTCCAGCTCTGCACATGGCGATGAAGATGTAGAGTGCTTTAATGGGAGCATTGGAATCGATTGGGTAATGTCTTGGCTGGGTCTTCAGCGTTCGGATATGGGAAGAATGGGTTGGTCTCAGATGAGGCAATCGAAGCAAGATTGAAATGGGAAAGAGTTGTTGGTGTTCTAGTTCTGGGAACCAGAAGTTTGAAGCGAATCCAGTTCATATGTGGGGATAGGAGATTGAGATTCAGTTCCAGTGCCAGTGCGCGAACATTAAAAGTGTTATTTTATCAAAAATTTTAATTATTAAAAGTTATAAAATAATATGTTAGTAATATATAAATACTTTTTAAATTTATATTTTTATTAAAAATAATTATTTTTTAATTAGATGTTAATATGTTGATTAATTTATAATAAAATATTATCTTAAAGTCGTTTAAATTGTATTTTGTTCTTTATTTACATTTTGTTGTGTAACCAATGTTTAAAATTTTATGCTTTTAAGATAATCAATAGACATCATTAAAATATAATTTTATAATTTCATAACTAATAAATTAGTGTTCAATTTAGTCAGTCTATGAATTTAAATACATAAATAATTAAATAATAATTTTATAACTTTTAATAATGAGAAAGTTAATAAAATAAAATCTTATAATTAAGAGGTAATTTCATAATTTTTAATGATTGAAAAAAATAATATTTATAAATGAGATCATTTGTATATTTTATCTTAATAAAATATATTGTGACACGTGTAAATTTAAGGAGAATATGGTCATTTACTGCCCACGCGAACTACCTGATATCAGGAAGGGGCAGTTTCGTAGTTCCCGCATTCCTTATAGGTAGTAAACACTATAAAATTCGTATTTCTTGAGTTTCACTGAAAACACACTGTTATTAGGTCAACGCCAAAACCTTCTCTTAACTTTCTCTCACACTATCCTCCTCTCCTCACATCGGACTGTTGATTCGATTTGGCCGTCAATGTCGGCGAAGGAGTCCTCAAACGCCGCATTACGTTATCTGAACACCGGCAACACCTTACAACACGCTTTCGGTGACGTTCTCTCCTACTTCATCCTCCTCCTTATTGGAATTCTCGCTTTCTCGATCCGTATATTCTCTGTAAGATCTCTGGTTTATCGCTCCTTGAGAATGCTGTAGATCCGATCTGTGATGTTCTTTTTAAAATGTGATTTTTGCGCCATTTTTTGCCGCCAAAAAGTATAAGAAAGAAAGGAAGTGAAAGCTGAGCTGAAGATTTACGTGCATGTTTGAACATTTACGTTTATTTTATCTATTTATTGCTTAATGATTTTTTTTTCTATTTTCCAAATGAGCTGTTTATTTATTTGAAATTCTTTTGGTTTTTTTGCGTTCAGGTTATAAAATACGAGAGTGTTATTCACGAGTTTGATCCTTACTTTAATTATAGAGTAACTCAGGTCAGCTGACTCAGTTTGCCTTCTCATTTTCGTTTGTTTCTATTTTAGTTCCTTAATATCCATTTTAAATTACTCTTGTCAATGTTTTGGTATCTTAAGCTATATTGCAAGATGATGTGGTTATGTTGTTGGTTTCAGTTTCTTACAAAGAAAGGAATTTATGAATTCTGGAATTGGTTTGATGATCGAACCTGGTAATAGCTAATTGGTAGTTAATTTATGATGTTTACGGTTCCTTCTATGTGAAAATGTATGGTGTAACGAAGGTACCCTCTTGGGCGTGTAATAGGCGGAACAGTTTACCCTGGTTTGACTCTGACAGCTGGAAGCATATGGTGGTAGGTTTCCTTAATGTTAATAGGGAACAAAATCCTATTTCTGTTAAATTTTGCTAATTTATTTTTTTTATAAATATGCCATTACTTGTGTCTGACTTGTTTCAACTTCTCCCTGTTGCATCAGGTTGTTAAATTCTTTAAATATTCCACTGTCTGTGGAGACTGCTTGTGTTTTCACTGCACCTATATTCTCTGCTCTTGCTTCATGGGCAACATACCTTTTGACTAAGGTATTTATTCTGTCCTAAACTTATTTGTATAGTGAGTTTATGGTTATTTAACTCAAATTCTAGTGTCTTTTTTCATAGGAAGTTAAGGGTGCTGGTGCTGGACTGACAGCTGCTTTTCTGTTGGCAATGGTAAAATCATGCAAGAGATCTTGTAGTATTATCATAGTTCATTCATTCTGTAATTCATTATAAATATGCTAACTTCAATTTTGAATAACAGTGGTTGGCATCATTTTACTCTGTGCTTTGTTACAAAAAACTTACCATTATTTTCCTATATCATCTTATGTTGTTATTGGTATCTTTGTTCAACTCATTTAAGTTTTTATTTGTAGGTCCCATCATATATCTCTCGTTCTGTGGCTGGTAGTTATGACAATGAAGCTGTAGCAATATTTGCTCTGATCTTTACTTTTGGTCTTTATATAAAGGTTAAACTTTGATTGAAGAAAATTCTTTTAATTTTCTATAATTTTGAGTTCTACGGCTTGAGGTACAGTTTGATTTAATTCCCCAGTGAATAGTATCTCATTTTCTCATAGATAACCTTCTACTTATTTTGCTTGGAGTTTCTTAGTTCTTTCCATTACTTAATTTCTCGCCTGACTGTTCTTTATTGGTTATTTTCAGACATTAAATACTGGATCCTTGTTTTATGCTACCTTAAATTCATTAGCATATTTTTACATGGTAAGCTTCTTGTGCTCTCTTTTATCCATGTTCTTATTCCATTCATTTTTTATGTTACTCAGTGGACCATTTTGTTTTTCAGGTCTGCTCTTGGGGAGGATACACATTCATCATTAACCTCATTCCAATGCATGTGCTTCTTTGTGTTATAACTGGTCGTTATTCTTCTCGATTGTACATCGCATATGCTCCTCTTGTAAGTATCGGCTTCATCCAAGAAGTTTCAATACTTGTCAATAAACAATAAGAATATATATTTCAGCATGCTATTGGAGAACCAATGCTAACTATTGTCAACAATAATTAGCATCTCGCATAAACTGATGCTTTGTGGGTTAAAAGACTTGGGGAAAATTAAAACATTTAGTAGGCATACATTGGATGGTAATGGGTTGAAAGTTATAGTAATATTTTTACCGAAGTCTTAAATGCTTGACATTTTTTTTAATTTATTAAATGTATATACTCATAATATGTACGAGTATGGGGCATGTATTTTTGTATTACATTTAATTTGATTCTCCTTGTATTTGTTGATAGAAGATTATATGACCAATTAAGGTGTGCTATTCTCTTTGTTCTCACTTAAGGATGGAGACATACTGACATGTCTAAAGAATGTAACTTTTACTTTTTTTCTTCCTTAAATAGAATGGAATCTTGCTGGAGATTTCTACTCGGACTTTCATGATTTTAGTTGAAACTGAGTTTGGCTGCAGGTTGTTTTGGGAACACTGCTAGCTGCTTCGGTGCCAGTAGTTGGGTTTAATGCTGTCATGACATCAGAACACTTTGCATCATTTTTGGTGAGCTTTTTTCTTTGTTTTTCCATGATATGTTGGTTGCATTTTGTATTCTCTTGCATTTCTTGTTGCAATTCATTTGTCTTGTCAATCTCAGTTAGTTATCTCCTTTAGGTATTTGCAATTTTCAATAACATAATCAACTTCGTCCTAGTCAGTTATTCTTGTTCGTGTTTCATGTTATTCACCGTTCCACTTGAGTTGTAGCTGCATGACCAACTTTTGTTCTTCTAATTCTCCATGCACAACTGGTTAAAGGAGGTGTTTGTGGGCTCTAGAACAACAGAAATTTCTTGCAGTTCCGATTTCCAGAATAGCTCTCAAAATCTTTTTTTCCTTCTTCCTTCCCCCTCTTCTTGAATGTCTTGGTCTATTTATGCTACTCCTTGCTTTTTAATATAATTTTTCTTTTCCCTCCTGCAGGTTTTCATTATCATCCAAGTAGTAGCTTTTGTATACTATATCAAGGGGATTCTTTCCCCCAAGATGTTTAAAGTTGCTGTGACACTTGTTGTATCAGTTGGCCTGTAAGCTTTACTTTTTGTATGTTCCTGTAAAATTTTCAGAGAAAATGAATTTATACATTGATGGCAACTAAGAACAAAAAATAGTGAATAAATTGTGATTCAAAAATTTCAGCATACATTAAATAATAAATCATATTCCTTGTGGACTTGCTTTAAAGTTGTTGATAAGCATATGAATAAGTGAAGGGTTAAATGACCTCCTATCATTGCCGTTCTCAGGGCAGTGTGTTGTGCTGTGGTAGCTGTTCTTATTGCATTAGTAGCTTCCAGTCCTACAAAGGGATGGAGTGGACGAAGCTTAAGTTTGCTTGACCCGTGAGTACCTAATTCATTCCATTATCTTCCATGTAAATGTTCTTTGTCAAAACTGATAGAAAAGCAGTGACAGGAATCGTAGTAAAGGATAGTGCAGTGTGATGCACGATAAAACTGAAATTATCTTCAAATTTTGGTCTGGCATGTATCTACTCTTAGGGACTTCTTGGTTGTTTGACTTTTTAAAACCTAATACCCAAGACCTAAGTAAGATGCCAGTAAACTATTTGATATTTTTAGCATTAAGGGAACCGCCCGTGCTTAACAGCGTTATCTTTTTTAATACCTTGCGCTATTTGTTCAATCATTGTTGTCTAAAGTTAGGTGTGTAACTCATTTCCCCTTTCCTTGCTACATTTGACAGAACTTATGCAAGCAAGTATATACCGATCATTGCTAGTGTTAGTGAACATCAACCTCCTACTTGGCCATCTTACTTTATGGACATTAATGTTTTAGCATTCTTGGTTCCAGCTGGTATCATTGTAAGTCTCAAGCTTTTGGAAATATTGACCTTTTGCTGTAACTTAAAAGTTTGTGTTATAATTGATAATTATTCTTTCAATTGTTGGAAGGCATGCTTTTTGCCTTTATCGGATGCAAGCTCATTTGTTGTCCTCTATATTGCTACGTCTGCATATTTCTCTGGAGTAATGGTAAGATGACCATGGACACAGAAAACTTCAAGCCACTACCCTCCATTCATTAATCCTAATAATTTGGGGCCTCTTATGTCTTAATCATACAGGTACGCTTAATGCTTGTGCTTGCTCCAGCTGCATGCAGCACATCTGGAATTGCTCTCTCAGAAGCTTTTGATGTCTTCACCAGATCAATCAAGTTTCAACTACCTGGAGTTAGCAAAGCTGAAATTGATGTAAACATGCTATACTTATCCATACCAGAAGTTCATAATCCACCCATCATTTTATGAATACCTGTAGCTACTGTACTAAAATATTTTCTTCCTACCGCTTCTGATCATCAAGGTAGGGGAAACTAGTTCTGCTATTGCTGAAGAACAGAATGTTGCTGGAAAGACAGAAAAACCTGAGGAGACATCAAAGGATAGACCCTCTAGGAAGAAAAAAAAGGAAAGGGAGCATGAGGAAAAACCTACCAAAGCCAAAGCTGAGAAGAAGCGGCTTCTAGCTTTACCTTTGGTGGCAACTGTGGTTTCTCTTCTACTACTTGTCTTTCTGGGTGCTTTCTATGTGGTAATTTGGTTTCCCATTTTATATGCTCTAACTGCTTGTTTTTTCCTGTATTTTCATCATAGAAGTTAATGTATCACTTAGTAGTCGGTTATTGCTGTGATATGATTTTGTTCAGTAGCTGAGAGGTTGTTCTGGTTGTAAATAAAGGATTTTTTGCTAGCTATTTTCTAACGTTTTAGGTGGGATATACATATGTGAGTTTTAGAGAAGAAGATTTTCTCTGATTTTTATTTCACTCGAATACAAAAGAAGAGTCTTTCCTATTTAAAGAACTCTTGAGCCACAATCCTAAGTAGTAAAACTCTTTCAAACCATTTTAGAGATAAACTAACATCTTATCCTTTAGGTAGATAAGACTTGTACTAAGATTTAAATTACTAACTAACAAAGAAACAAATCATCTATAATCTATACTCCCCCTAAACTGGTGAGTAGAAACAAAATTGAGTTTAACTGTCCCACTTGTAACCTTCTCAGAGATGAGGTGACGGTCTAGGTCTAGCTCCACATGTTTCGTCCTGCCATGGGGTGTGTGTGTTACAAAGTGGACACTTTTTGTTTTTCAGTGATCTAAATAGGTCTGCAAATGCTATTTCATTAAGTTTGGATTTAGCACTAGGCCACTTGCATTACTGGTTTGTAAATACCGCATCCTTGGAATGGATGCTGAGGATGTATATAAGGTATGAACAATGAAGTGTAAAATTTAGTGATGATTATGGCATTTAAAAGTTGTTAGTCTCTTCTTTTCTTCAGCTACGAATTTGGATACCTTATTGTAGTTTCACAATGAATCTCGCGCATAGAATGCAACAAGTTAAACTTCTGTTGGAAATTTGTATGCCTCAATGGGAAAAAACCTTTGGCTCTAAATCTTTTCTTTTTTACTTTTGTCCATGAGATGTCCATACATACCAATTTATTGTTTGTTTGTTTCTTTTTGTTTCAATTGTAAAACTGTCACTTTTTCTCTTTACAGCTTCATTGTGTTTGGGCTGCAGCAGAAGCTTATTCAGCCCCCTCAGTAGTTTTATCATACCGTGCACATGGTCGTCTGCATGTTTTTGATGATTTTAGAGAGGCTTATGCGTGGTTGCGCCATAATACTGATGTCAATGACAAAGTAAGTTCTTTAAATGTCAATTAGGCTACCAGTCTTTTGAGCTGGAAGTTTTTCTTGATACCTGTATCTACGTAGAATAAAAAATGGAAAATATATATTTTAAGCTGTTTGATCAACACTGATATGCCGAGCATAAAATGGCTCGGCTCTGATAATCCTTATTGGTCATCTTTTTTCTGTGTATGTATTTTCTTCTTATGTTATCTTGGATGGATTTGTTTTGCTTATAGCAGCTTAGTCTTTTGTTGAATATATAACAATATTGCAACCTATTAAGCAAAACATGCTGTCCGACATTGCTAAGTGAAACTCCTGGTAGGTTGCATCATGGTGGGACTACGGTTACCAAACCACTGCAATGGCTAATCGCACAGTGATTGTTGATAATAATACCTGGAACAATACTCATATTGCAACTGTTGGTACTGCGATGTCTTCTCCTGAAAGGGCAGCTTGGGATATTTTCCACTCTTTGGATGTGAAATATGTTTTTGTCATTTTTGGAGGTTTGATTTTTTTTATCCTTTGGTATTTGAATTATGTTGTCTTAATATATTATGTTCTGACAACTTACTTCACTAACTAGGTCTCATTGGCTACCCCAGTGATGATATTAATAAGTTCCTATGGATGGTTCGAATTGGAGGTGGTGTGTTCCCTCACATCAAGGAAGCTGATTACCTGGTAAGTTATCTTTTTGGTTTTCTTTCAGCGTTTGGAAGTATCAACTCTCAATCATACTTTTGTATATTCAAAGTCAAACAATAAATATTTATACATTTTGGGAAAAAATATGTTTAAGTGTGATGAAATTTGCTAGTGGAACAACAAGAGAAAGGCCGAGCATAATTACAAAATTGTGTATAAAAGTGAGCAATACCTTTTATAGGTTTTTCTAGTTTTTTTTTTAGGCCTTTATAGGTTTTCCTAGTTAATTGAATGTTACTGCACTAACGTAAGACGATATTTATTTTGGCTGAGAAATTAGATGATATTTAAGCTCTCTCTTGACTCGGTTATTTCACTCTCTGTAATTAGTAACTATTCTGTAACTTGCCTTCTCTCTACAGAAAGATGGTTCGTATCGAATTGATTCCCAGGCGACTCCAACCATGCTGAATTGTCTAATGTATAAACTCTCCTATTACAGGTCTGTTGCTGTTAATGTTTGAGTACTTCATATGTGGTTTTGGCCAGTTTTTTTCTTTGAACTTGTACCTAATCTTTTAATTGCATACATATCTACAGGTTTGTGGAAACTGATGGGAAAGCGTACGATAAAGTTAGGCGGACAGAAATTGGAAAGAAATATTTTAAACTCACTCATTTTGAGGAGGTTAGATGATCCTAGTTTTCATTCTATTCAAATAGTGCCTGCATATCATGAAAAATTGCCTACCATATTCGTTTAAATTACTTCAGTATGATCCATGTTGTGGTGTGCGTTTGGAATATGATAATTTTCGTCTTTTTTCTATTTGCATGCCGATGAGCCTCCGCTCAAATCATTTAATATTCGACTCATTGGATGTTGCGTTTATTCAAGTGTTTTCCTGATCAGATTTCTCTTGTTTTATTGCCAATGTAGGTATTCACAACTCATCATTGGATGGTTCGGATATATAAACTAAAGCCTCCAAAGAACATGATTAGAGGAAAGACAAAGAAATCGAAACCGGTACATATAATCATGGATTCTCATCATAAAAATAGACACATTACATTAAGATTGTTTCATTGTTAATGTTCACCTATACGTTATTTTTAACTTGTTAATAATGTTCTGGCAGAAAACTAGCTCAAGAAGCAGTTCAAGAAGTGGAACCAAAAAGAAGAATCCGTGGCACTAAGAAACACAAACATAGATATTACCGGTAGGTTATTATTTTCCTTGGATACAGTCAAATTAAATGGATTTTGCAGGCTTCGCTCCATCTTTTGTAAGCTACTGTATTGAACTGCGTCGTCATTATTTATAACATCAAATTTAGGGCAAAAATAAAGCACAAATCATCATTTGCATATGCTTTTTTTTATACAATAAGGTTAATTACTGGCTTGGTTCTCTTTCTATTGCTCTATTATTATGTTCCTCTGTTCGAAAATAGAAGAGAAGCTTACCGATCTTCCTACTTTGACTCTAATGCTAACAGTGTGATCTTACCTTGGCTGCTTCTGTTATGAAAAATTTATGGCCACCATGTTGCTTTTCTTTCGACACCACATCTCTTTTTATGTGACTAATTGACAATGATAATGAACTTACTACTTTTAACCATATAACATCTGTTTGTTAACAGTAGCTTGAATTGTTGGTATTTGGAAACAACAGCAGAAAGATCCAAAACTGTTTCTGGAGGTAGTGAAATAATGTTACCCTCTTGTGTAAAAACATGATTTTACATATACACAGGAAGATATATGAATCACATGAATCGGTTTATAACATCATTTGACTGTTCTTTTCACCAGAACAAAAAGGAAAAGAATTTTGTTAGAGTTTCTTTGGCAAGTTGTAAGTCTTCTTAAGGAACTTAGCTGCTATTTCGTCATTCCTGTAACACAAAACTCTCAAGACCGTGTTCGGTTCAGTCGGGCCCCACAGACCTGTCGTTGGTGGCAATGGAAGCTTGGATTTAGTCGTAGAAGAAGAACAATTATCGAGTGTTATGCTTCTGAATTTCTCAATCAGGCTCTCGGTATCAGTTTGAAACAAGGGGAGAATCTCTTTAACTGTGATCGAAAAGTCGTCGATCAACTCGGCCGGAAGTCCATCCCCATTAGACCAAAACAGATCAGTCAAGAACCTAAAATCCTCTTCTATCATTTCATAGTCCTGCAGGGTAAAAGCACGAGCAGGGCCGCCGGCGAGTAAAACCAGTAAGAGGCCATCAAAAGAAACCTTCATTACTTGAGTAACAAGTCGTGTTCTAATATTGTCATGCACGGTTAATGAAATGTCCTCCAACTGGAGGTCGAGCTCCTGAAGAAAAGGTTCGATCCTAGACGATGAGACGTCCCCGATATACAAGCCGTCCCAGAAGAGATGACTTAGGTCGCGGTAGACGACGTTATTTGCAGTTGCTTCACATAGGTGTTGGATCCCTTCTTCACATGCAGCAGCCGAAAGTTTAAATGCTTTCTCCATTCCATTGGAAATATCTTGAGTTGATTCAGAGTTTGTTAAATTGGTAACTTCCCTTTTTGCCAATCCATTCAACTGAGTTTGAATATACAGAAGAGTGTTAATACGACAGCACATCTGGGGTGTCCCGGAGGTGTCATTTGCAGTCCCCCCCTGAGTTTTCTTATGAGCCTTTTCTTTTCTCTTAAACACACCAGGAAGTTTGGAGCGTCTAGAACATCTAGTCAAAGGTGGTATTGTGGGTACATAGCTTTGGGTATCTGTAGATTACAGGTATTAATGTGTCAATGATTGGATTAGAATTTTTCAAATTAAAAAGGACTAAATCTAAAACTTTGTTGAAGTACAAGGACCAGAGAAATATGTCCGATTGCTAATTTCATAAAGAAAAAGAGCGAGGAAGAGAAAGAAATGCATGCATTGGTAAGTAATACGTACCACAGCCAGACTTGGCCATGGATATGTAGTGTAGAAGACAGCTATCGATCCCAGTGGCTAAGTCTGGGAGCATAGAAGCATGTATGGCTATTGGTAACAAAAAGAATGCTTCAAAAGCTTCATCTACAATCCGCAGCACTTCAACAGCTGATAGAGCAAAACGCTCCCTTGTGGCCTTTGGATCCCATTTCTACGAAGAGATGAGAAAAATGCACAATGCATAACCAGTGAAAGGAGGCAAGTAATTTGGCATAAGATGGTCAAATTATGATTTAACCGATATTATTACCTCTTGTTGCAGGCTCCTATTAACCCATTCCTTCAACCTATCAGTTCTCTCGGTTATCCATGATTTAACCAAACCAGAAGTAACAGATTCAGCCTCGTAAGGAAGCATCTCCCTTATGATCGACTTGCCACCATCTTCACTATCCACCGAATTCTCAACCGCAATCTGCACCAAATCTTTCTCCAATTTGTCAGCGGTTTTCAGCACTTCTAAAACATCCGGCGATATCTCATCGATGCCCGAAACATATTGCTTAAGCTCATTCCCATAGCAGGAATGGAGGGTGGCCACTGCTACGCCTGCTGCAAGTGGATGCCACCGTTTTAATATCGGACTGAAAGTTTCCTTCTCCGTAAAAGCCAGTTTACTCACTTCCTCTGCAAGTCTGGCCATGAAAGGAAGCTCGTTTTGGAAGTCTTTGGATGAAGGTTTGCTTGACTTTTCCTTCTCCATTACCTGTCTAAATACACGTCTATAAATAGATTAAAAAAATGATTCGTCTTTCAAACAAAAATGGTAAAATTCTGATCTTCATCCCCCTATTTTAATGTGATATAATTTGATCCTGCTACTATTATTAATATTATGCCGATTTTTAAATCGCTTGAAACTTGAACACAAGTGATCCTAGTACTAGTAGTAATGCTACACTTAGATGACTTGGGTTTGAGCAAGCGCATTAATCGGCTCGTTTTATTCTTTTAACTTTTCTTATTAAATTATAGGAGTAGAGGTGATCAAAATATTTGAACCTAATGAATTTCGATATGATATTATATAGGATTGAAGTTTAAAAAAAAAAAAAGGTTTGAATGAGGTTGACGAAGGAGAGAGTCGGGGTTGGGATAGTTTTGACTTGGATAATTAGTATGTGCTCCCTGTATATATATTTAGGGATAGACTACGAAGCTTCTTTATAATATTTTTAATCTTCTTCTTATCTTGTCGCATAAAAATGAGAGAAATTTTGTTTAAATCGAGTCGGTTCAAAATTTAAGATGAGTTCAAGATAAATAATATGACGATATAAATCGAAATGATAAACAAATGATTCATATAGTCCCATGCTCATCCCTATATAGGAGACTCCTTATTTAGTGTTGCACACACGTAGGGACAACATAAAAGATTAAATATGGGGAAATATTGGGAACTTGCCTGGGCAAAAGCAGCACGCAGTGATGATTTTATGGATTCATCAACTTTCTCATAACCAACATCGGTTTCGTCTCCTTCAACACCATCTTCTTCCATTATCTTTGCTGATAGAACCGCCATGGAAACCACACATGCCATTGACTCAATGTTGTCACTTCGGAAATGAAAGTGGTAATCAACAAGCCTTTTCTCACCCCAACCTAAAATCGCACTCGAAATACAACTCAACACCTTGGCATAATGGGCATCTTCCTTCAATGCCTTTGCATCATGTTCTACTTTCGTCAACAGGTTCTCGCCCGTGTTCAACAGATCGCCCTCGGCTTGATCCGTCATCGTCGTGTAACGGTTGAAAAAAATCCACAAGAAGCAAAGATTGTGCAGCACTTGGTTCATTCCCAGGACTTGCCATGTCTTCTTTATTTGCTCTACCACCTCAAATAACTCGTCAATGACAGATGCTTCGTCATTGATATCGAAACAAGCTTCGAGCAGCATTTGGTAGATTTTGAGGTTCAAAGGGAATCCATCTGCCCAGTGGTGTGTCCCGGAAACCGTTCCGTCGTCGCTTGTTCGACAAGCAAGTGATGTAACAATGCTCCGAAGGGATTGCATCGATTCATTATTTTTTATGATGTTCGAAGGCTTCTCCAATGCCTCATCGACGATCCCTCGGAGCTGTTGCCGATCGGCGTTGTCGTTTTCTAGTGGCAGTAGAGGATGCAAAAGGAGTCCGGTTTCAAGAAGCTTAAAACATCTCTTTTGCGAAGCTTCGTGTTCTTCTTTGCTCGGAAAATCGGCAGGCTGTAGTTGCTGCAACATCTCGAGTGGCAACACAATTGACTCTATTTTCTGATGCATATACATGAAACAAAATATAAGATGTCTAATGTTTTTTTTCAAAAAAAATGAAGGACTAATCAGAAGTTTTTGAAAATTTGAAGGATGTAATTAAATTTTTCCAAATTTCGTGAGGCCTATAACCCCTTCAGGCTCTCATATAGATTCATCCATTGAGCTCAATTCAAAACTCGGAGCTCGATATGGAATTCAATCTCATATTTAAGCTCAAAGTAAGTTTGATTACATTTGTTCATATATATATATCTAAGTTCGAGCTTAAATTTAAATTCGATCACACTTGACGTATAAAATATACACTGATACAAGGACTTGATTGAACATTTTATTATATTTAATGCTCGTAACCGAAAAAGAAAACGAAAAATGTAATAGCAATTTCTTTTAACAAACCTGATCAACAGCAACTTTAGAGAGAGCTTTTCTAACTCTAGAATCTATTTGCTCCGAAACTCGCATTTGAACCCTCAACGTCTCCTCAATTGAACTCGGCTTCTTCACTTGTTCCGGGACGGTCTTATTACCACTCGATTTCTTCCTCCGAGATTTTATTCCTAAAGCCTTCTTCACCTTACTCGCCGCCCTTGACTTCAACGAAGTATATTGTGTCGTCGTCGCCATCCCCGTCTTCTCCGAATTCTTTTCCGAGTCCGGTACTTTGTCATTCGATGTTTTCCCACCAAAACTCAGACATGCTCCAACCAAAATCTCATAAGCTGTCTCATTTAGCTCCGAGTCCGATAAATTCGTCGCCAACTCCCCAAAGGGGCACGTAATCGTTTCCGTATAGTCATTAGGTGTTGCCTTCGTCATTTTTACCGTCGCCGCTGTTGTCTTTATCGTTTTATGATGCTATTACAACAATAACAATGTCAATCAAATTAAGATTCAATCAGTTTAGTAATTTACTTTTGTAATGTTATTAGTAACCACAGATTGATAACACCTTAATTATGATCATAAAAGTGATAAAAAAAACTTTTTATTATTATTCTTTCACAATTAGAGTCACATAAAAAGTTTA